ATATAAATAGCCTACATTAAACTAAAACAAAAACAAGCTTCACCATGTGGGTCTTTAGCTGCTAGCAACACATCACGATAATCATTTTATTCACATTGAAAACAAGTGGCAAAGCGCTTTACAATTAAAACAGGGACAAATAGTAAAAGAAAAATACAAAATTAGACAATAAGTAAAACAAATATATAAAAGCAAATAAACAGGTAAATAAGGATCAAGAATAAATTGAACATATAAATCAATAAAAACAACTGGTAAAGAAGTGGGCTACACATGCAGCAGCCAACAGTTACTAAAGTCGTTTCCAAAACTGTGTAAGTCTTTGCCCCGGACATCCGTCTCTCTCACACTATTGGTGTTTTTAAAACTCGCCTTAAGACATATTTATACTCAATTGCTTTTAATGTTCAGTAACCCATCAAGCACAAAAAATCCATAGCTCTGTTATTCTCTTGTTACACTGGAATTAACTGTCACTTGTTCTTTTCTTTTTTTTATTGTTGTCGTTCTTGTCTGTTACTTTCTAATGCTTTGTTTCTGCAATGTTCAGCACTTTGGATCAACTATGTTGTCTTTAAAGTGCTATATAGATAAAGTTGAGTTGAGTTGAGTTTTAAGAAGAGGACACTGAATCTCCCTGCCTGAAGATTCACAGCTGTGGGCCTCGCACTGCAACGGCTCAGTTTTAGGAGCTGCTAGTAGGGCCCTGCTGGAGGATGGCATGCAACAGCCAGACTCATAGAGAGTTATCATATCACAGATAAAGGCTGGAGCCTCGCCATTTAATGCTCTGAAACAATGAACGATTTCAAAATGTCTAAAACTCACAGGTATCCAGTGAGGAGAAGAGAGGGCAGGTATTATATGTTCCCTTTTCTTATTTCTTATTAAAAAAGGGTTGGCAGCAGTGTTTTGAATGAACTACATAATATGCTTATGAGTAAATTGCCTTACAGTACTTGAGTCTGAAAGAAATAAAATGTATTGATGATTTTTCCAAGACGGCAGAAGAAAGGAATGACCTGATTTTGGTTAATTGTCTCAGTTAAAGGCTTTATATGTGATTTTTTAATCCAGCAGATGTCGCCCTTGAGCATCAGCATGAAACCAAAACAACTTGCGGTGCATTGTTGTGTTAGCATGCTAATGTTAGCAATCTTTATTATGCTCATATCTTCACACTGCATGTAAATTTACCTGAAATGAGCGTGATCTAGAAACACAGTTAAGCAGTGAGTACAGTATGTTATTCTTCTTTTCTCTAGTCCCTCAATTAAACAACTTTTATAAGTGAGGGGAGGAGTCAGCCGGCCGTCCTGGCGATGTAAACAAAGTGAAGATAGGACTCTGACTGAAAACATCACAGACAGTGGGACTCGGGTGTTACACCCATTGTAGACAGTCATGACTCACAGAGTTATTTTCAGAGGATATACTTGATTTCTATTATATTTAAGTGTGAAAAATCACATATAAAGCCTTTAAACAAAATATAACTGCAAAACTTTTGTAGCTTGGTATAAAGACAATGTCAAAATCTATTTTTGTGAAAGATACAAACAGTGGTGTATGAGAAAATATGTCTTTAAGGTAAAACAACAATTAATAATGACTGGGCATCATTTACAAAAACAGTTGATATGCATAACAATGTTTCGAATAAAAAAGAAATCTATAGTTTGAAGGTGATTTTGAGTGAAGACAGGCGAGTGTCGGTACAGGAAACACCTGACAACAGGAGGCCACACAAAGCCGTCTCTCCCGCTCTACTGGGTGAAGCATCAATTATTCAGCTCGCTCTAAATGTGGGACATGAGGAGGTCAGGCAAGATTCTCCTCACATGCTGCGGAGGATGCTGACTCGCCAAAAGAATGATGATGAAGAAGATGATAATAATAATGGTGATGATCAGCCTGGTAATAGAGAGTTATTATCATGACTCATAAACACACAGAGGAACACTTGTGCATAGAATACCCCCTCAGCTCGAAACAAAGATGCAGACAGATACACACACACACACACGCACACGCACACGCACGCACACGCACACACACGCACACACACACACACACCCACCCACACGCACACACACACACACACACACATACACACACACAGAATGCTGTTGAAACATTTCAGCACAGATAAGACTGGATGATGACACAGACGGAGCATGCTGATACAGTATAGATGAACCTGTTCGGCACAGTACCCTGTGTTGCCATGGCAACAGTGTAAAGCCCTCTCATCAAGCCATGAGAAAGCGGTGAGTGCATGGGATGGCGGTGAGAAGGGGAGGGGGTGCTGCAAGATTCTGAAGGTGAACTTTGTGGTGCCCTTTTTCTTTTCAGTCAATGCTTCATGTCATGTCAAGGATGAAATCAAAAACTTTTTTTTTTGTCAGAGGAGACTGGAGGATAAAGGTTGTTGTGACTCCTAGTTTTTTCCTGAAAGGAGGGGATACCCACGGTCGGACAGACAGACAGGAGCTGAGGACACTGGTCATCTGAATGCATTGGTTTAGTAGGGTGTAGGACAGCGGCCTCCACAGCTATGAGGAGCTTGCTCGTGTGTTTGTGTTGTGTGCTTCTGGACCTCACAACAGTCCAAAGTGAGTACGACTTTTCAACCTTCTGTTGCAGGAATTAATTCAACAGTTTGTACACGTTACAAACTGAAACATGTATACATATATGATATACATTGCATATCATACATTATACATGTTTCTTTTTTTCCCCTCAGAGTTACAGTAGATGAGAATATCAATTCCACTTTCATGTGTGTGTGGTAAATATGAAGCTAGAGCCAGCAGCTAATTAGCTTAGCTTAGCACAAAGAATTTGAACGGAGGGAAACACCAACACCTGGCTCCTTCCATTGGTAACAAAATGTGTCTTTGCACCTTATAAATCTCTCAAATATATCTTGTTTCTTTAGTCATAATGGAACAGAAACATTCTTGAATGTAAACTGGTTTCCTGGCTTGTCTGGAAAATATCCCCCCTGTGAAAATGTGACTAGTCATTTGTATACATTTTTAGAACAAGACTTTAACAAGAAGCAAAATAATCATTCTGGTTGAAATGTAAAGATATTCCTATTACTTTCCAGCCATGATTTCAACAAGAAAAGCGTAAATACTTCCATGAGTGCGACTATACTGTTCCCACCACTTCTTCTGTATACCCTGAGGCTGATGTACAGAAGTTGAGCTGTTGCATAAGAGAGTCATAAAAGAGCCCCTCTCTTATGTTTCAGAGCCAAGAGTGAGGTGGTGACACTAGAAGGTCAGGTTATATTGGATTACCTTCATTACATGGTGGCCTCCCAGGTGACAGAAAACCACTAATTGTTAGGCTGAGTCAATGGGCTTGAAAGGGGGATTAAGAGGGCCTCACTCTTTATGCTTCCCTTTTGTTCACCGAAATACTTTTTTTCATGTTTTATGGAATGGACTTTTTTAAGAGTATGAAATTCATGCCATGGGGAAGCTTTTGAGCCATTTCTTTTTTTTTTTACAGCAATGGGGGAACATTTTGTTTTGTCCACTTGAAAGATGCTCAACCAGTCAAACAGAAATGAATGAACTTTTCGGGTGAAAGATGAAAACATCTTTAGGAATCTACAAAAAACATCTGTTTAATATTATTGTTCATACACAGGTCGTGTGCTCATGCAGGGCCGTATTGTAGGCGGACACACTGCTGCACCAAACTCCATCCGATACATGGTGTCACTGCAGAGCACCAGGGGTCAACACTTCTGCGGGGGATCACTGGTTCACAGATACTGGGTGCTAACTGCAGCTCACTGTAACATTGGGTAAGAATGATAAAGTAGTCGCTGGTCCTTTTTGCTGAATCTGTTGAGAGTATTACTGTAATACCACAGTGTGATTATTTCCATGTTCGTAAGGTTACATGATTTTATTTGTTTGTCGTGTAGCCATGCTAGCAGTGTGGTTCCAAGGATGGAATTGTTGTGCGACTGGTCAGTCCCCGCCTTTTTCCCAGACTAAAATGTGCTCAGTGTAATAAAGACATGTATCTATTGAAGCATCGAAGAATATAAATTCAGACACCCCAGTGTCCAGACAAACAGTAGAGATATTTCAGTCAGTGATTTTTTGGTTAAATAATCTCTCAAAAAACCCTTAACACAAATCGTTACAGACATTGTGGGCTTCTATGTTCCTTTGATTTAATGAGCCATTCGCAGTTTCACTGTACCGGCCGTGTGTACTTAGACTTGCATGGCTTAATCTTTGAGACAAGCATATGCTACTGGCAGGATCAACCAGGTAGACTGTGACGCGAGTATCTTAACCTTCAAAAAAGTTACGATAACTACAGGCATTTTGTTAGCGCTTGGCTCTGCCATATTCAGGGGAAAAACAAGGAACTGGACCCACATGCAGAATTAACTAAAACTATTTAGTTAAACAAGGAGGCAAAAACTAAAACTTCCTATCAAAATGTCCAAACTGAGAAAATCCAAAAACTGATACGCACTGAGAAACATTAGGAAACACTGACACTCCAACATACGACAAACACCACTGGCAACTTACAACAATGATCTGACCACACGAGAGAAGGAACACAGAGACTAAATAGACACAGGGGTAATCAAACACAGGTGAGACTAACAAGACACAGGTGAGGACAATGAGGGTAATCAACACGGAGGGAAACACATAGAGGCAGGAATACAATACAAGAAACACTGAGGACAACTACAAACTAAATCATGAAACACTAAAGACAACCAGAACTCAAGAATGTAACAAAGAAACACAAGTATAAGAAACTACAAAATAAAACAGGAAACACCAAAGACTAAACTATGAAACATTAATACAAAAACACACAAGGGAAACAAGCAACACCAGGATGGACAGGAGAAATTAAAACATGGAAACTAAACTTAATGAGACCAAATCATGACAGGCTCCACTTCATGGTGCCAATTGTATTTGAATTGTACATGGCTGTGTCTCTGTCTTGTTCTAAAACAGTTTGTTTTTAGAATCCTGTCTTGTAAATTCTAAAAGGTTTAAGAAAAGCTGCCTCCTAATGCCTCAAAATGATTTAAAATTACTTTTCTTATAAACCATTTTTTGTAACACTTGCACGGGCACTGATGTTCTCTGCTGCAGTGAACTATGTAGAAGTCATTGTGTAGTAGCTCACTTGGCATGATGTTATAATGAGAGCAGATGGTCTAAACAGATGCCCTCAAAGCAAACATCCACTTTACTATGAGTGTAGCTAACGTCAAAATCACACCACTTGATGCAGAGTGTACAGGCCACTTGGAAGTCAAACAGTGCACAGATGTGGTCGTGTCAGCTGACCTTGTCACAACATCGATGTGTTGTGACAAGGGGGAAGTGTGATCTTGACGTGACCCAGGAAATTGGCCGTAATTCTGTAATACTGTCCCAGCTCTGTCTGCACACAGTAAGCCATTGTTTCCTGGCTGACACTTTACGTCTGCATGTGCTCACTCTGCACTGTGACTTTGGCATCATGTTGTGTGCTCATTTTGTCTCCTCTTTCTCCCTGTGGAAATATTATAAAACATTTAATGTTTTGGCTGTGATCTCTACAGTTTTAGTGTATGATAAAACATGTGAAGTAAAATGGAATTTTCATCTCTATTAGGGCAGAGCACATGATGATCGTTGCAGGCGACTACATTGTGAATTCCTTCGAGGGCACTGAGCAGTACGCTAAACCCCACAGGCTGGTCACCCATCCGCTCTACAACGAGAGCACCAACAATGCTGACATCATGCTCATTAAGGTACTGCAGTCTTAACCATATCCCTATTGTTGTCATACCTAACCGTTTCATATTTTCAGTTTGTTAATTAATGCATGCTGTTCACTAAATTTGCAAATAGTCTGACCCTGAGCAAATATGTGGAATTTGTAATTTTTGTAGCAGGGCAGGTACTGTAGGATTATAGGTTTTAATTTTCTCAGAAAGATACTCATATTTAATTTGAATGTCCCCATCAAATCAAAATATTGTTGAGAGCAGAGTTTACAGGCTGTGTACAATACATTTGTATAGGGGCGAGGGGGGACTAATGAGGTGTTGATCAATTATTATAGAACAGAATAGAATACAACTTTATATGTACACAATGTGGAAGATTGTCTTTGGCTTCACAAGAAAAGAAAAAAAAAAAACATGAACACAAACAAGACAACATTCAAGCACAGAAAGAGACCAGAAGAACGCCTGGAGTCCTCAACAACACAGTTGACAACATCATTTTTAACATTGATAAAAATGATTATCAAAGAACTGCTTATTATCAGGAAAATAATCATTGATCAATAACTTCTTAATCAATAAATCAATTGATTTTTATTTATATTGCGCCAAGTCATAAGCAAAGTATTCTTATGACACTTTACATAAGAGGCAAGTGAAGAGTGTAGTCTTTGATATTGTTTTAGAGAAATCCAACTGTAGAGCAACATAGCAACCATTTAGCAGGAATCAATAAAGAGATAGAAACCCCTTTCACACATGCAAATCAGATCATTTCCAGGAAATTCCGGGACAACATGTCCCTTACATTTCACTGAAGTTCCCTTTCACACATGACCCTCAACGGGGCTGATTATGTCAGTTGGACAAGTTGGGGGCTCTCAGAAGACAAGATATAACTTAGGAGATACATTGCAAAGATTTAAAACAAATCCAAGATGGCAACAGAGTCTGATTCTCTTATGACTCTTTTTTTCCTTTAAATCAATATTTATATACTGTATATTGAAATTGTATTATACTAGGATAAGCCCCTTGAGGTATATCATCTCGTTTTCAAGGGGGTCCCAACTGCAAATCAATGGACAGTTTCAGACATCAATGCTATGTGTAATCAGGAATATTATTAACTAAATAAACGTAAGAGTGGAAAAGAATGTGCTGGCAAGCAAAAGATAATTTTGGATAATTTCCCGGTATGTAGTTAATGTGTGAAAGGGGCTAGATAAAGAAAGAAAGAGACATTAACATAGCAGCAAAATGAAGAGCAGATTATATATATTTGTTAGTGATAACACGAGTGTTGAACCATGTTTTTCCTTTACATATTCCTACTCTCAAACTGTCCTTTGATTTTGCAGTTGCGAGCCCCCATGGTCCTGAACCGATATGTCTCTCTGGCGCCTTTGCCCAAGCAGGGGACAGGAGTGGTCGAGGGCTTGGTTTGTCGTGTGTCTGGGTGGGGCTACAACAGTGCAGGTGGAGGCCGGGCCCCCTTCACCCTCAGAACTGTGACTGTACCGATTGTTTCGAGTGCAAGGTGTAACAGCAGCGAGTCATTTAATGGAAACATCACAGCGAACATGATCTGTGCTGGCTACAGGACTGGAGGAAAAGATGCATGCAAGGTTTGCACACCCACTGTCCACTCTGACCCCTTTTTTCTCCAAAAGTTATCATTTGATCTTTGCAAAGTGATTAAATACATTTAGAAATAATAAATGATCAAAGGTATCAGCCCTTATTCTCAGTGCGTGTATCAGATAGCACAGGATTGTCTTCTTTTCATCGGCTCATATCAAAGCGATACAATAACACAGTTTTGGGAAGCTCATCCCCCTGACAGTTTCAGGATGTAGTTCATCATGTCAGTGTTGATTCAGCTACAAGCTTTTATTAAACAGACGTGGCAGTCAACCCTCAAGAGTTCTGATAGTTACAGCATAAAATAAGCCTGAAATAGCATCAGGACTAAAAACCTTGTTTTACATTTAAAGTAGTGTCATTTGTAGCCACTGCCATCATCATATGATTTTCATTTTATTATTTGTATCAAGAAATAATTTTTTGCTCCAACATGGTGAGAGAAGAAAATAACATGGAATTCAATGTGTGATATACCAGTAGGCTACATTCTGCCTCAGGTAAAGAGCTGAATGACTAATTAAAATGTGCTATATTTAACCCTGCAGTAGGCAACTTTGTGGCAGGGAGAGCTTTATGAATCCAACCATCCAGTGATCTGTTCAAGTCTGTTTTAGCTTCTGTTGACCATTTTTTTTCATTCAAAAATGTCCCCAGAGATCCAAAGAATGAACCACCATTTCTATCAAATGTGTAACATCTTACATTTGTGATTAGATCACATGCAGGCACGAGTGACTCTCAGATATTTCCATGTGAAATCTGAAGCATGACATGTTAAAGGTTATATTTTTTGCAAAGGTCAAAAATGTAATGAATCCACATAAAAGCCAAAGTGGCTTCAACAGCAATTCTCTAGATAGAGTCGGGGGGGGGGGGGATTCAGTCCCACGGCCGCTGCAACCAAGACTATAGCCTCTATGTGGGAAGCGTGTCATAACCGCTTGGCAATCTGGAGCCCCTACTAGGATATTTCTCACCTTTGAACTTTTATATCTTTAATATCAGGACTATTAATGAGTTTCAGATGCTCTTATTTTGGAAGAATTAGATCATTTTACTTTGATTATACTGAAGGGACTATGACAGAGTCTTGAGATTTAAGTTACAATTTACCATTGAACCCATGTTTGGCCTGTTTTACAATAAAGGTGACCCAATGTTGCTAACATGTCTGATACATCAATTTTGTAAATAAGTATAAATAAGCATAAATTAATGTACCATGTAAGACCAACATCAGAGGACACTAAACGACTATACAATTAACAATGAAAAACTGTTTGTTTTTTTTAACAAGGTTCATGTGACATGATAGCTGGTTCAGGGTGTGGTCTCGTCCTTGCAGGGAGACTCTGGGGGGCCTCTGGTGTGTGGGGGGCTTGTCTACGGTGTTGTCTCCTGGGGCAACGGCTGTGGTAATGCTAAGTTTCCAGGAGTCTACTCGGCTGTGTCCAAATTTCGCCGGTGGATTGACCAAAACATCTACCGCTCACACTATCGCTGTACCAGATACTGATGAAGAAGATAATAAAAATGCTGTATACTGAGTTTTTTGGATGGAGACTTATTTTTCTAGTTCTCCGAGCCACTGCTATTCTGATCATGTTTTCAGTATACCAATATAATAATGATGCATCTTGTTTTTTTCATTCACCAGCAATAAATGTCTCTGGCAGAGTTATTGTTGGATTTACTACAGAGGGCACTTTATGAGCTGCCTGTCCTCTAAATATACATCCAGTAATGTAAAGCTAATAACTTGTGATAAATATCCTAATTCAGAACATGCTTAGAACTGGGTGAGTGGAGATTGAGTATTGCACATGTATGCTTATCTGAAGAGGTCAGAGAGGTTATTTCAGTCCTTTCATTTTCCATTTTTTTCTCCTTGAAGGCTTATGAAAATGTGTTTTCCCCCAATCACCTTCACATTGAAGTCATGAACAAGACAAATATATTTTCTCCAACATTTTCTCACAAGAGGCTTCTTCAGTTTAATGAACCTTATCTCGTGCAAAGGTTTATAAATAGGAAGCCAATGTTGAAACTATTTCAGGCTCATGTTCTTCTGTTTTAATATGATTCAAAATAGTTTAATATGAATGTTTTGAATGGGAGGAAAGGACAAAGTTAGTTGACCTTCAGCAGGTGACCTTTGTTGTTATTGTAAAATGGGGTTAACCATGAGGATGTTTGGAGTTTGGTCAGACACAGACATACGTATGTACTTTACATGAGTTGGTTAATAAGTTTATTTGTGAATTCACTTTACTTTGCACAAACGTTACATTTGATTATATCCGAAAGTAACCTTGAATAAGTCCAAGCTGACTTTTGGTTTCACACTTAAACAATGATCTCCTGGATAAACACTATATTTGAGTGGCCCATCCTTCTGTCTCAACATTTTTCTATGCTGACTTTCCCACTATTTATCTCACATCATTTGATCTAAAACATGTACGAGTAGAATGCCATGCAACTCTGCAAATGACATGTTAGAAGAGATTGTTTTGATACATATAGAAAAACTATATTTCCTTTTGTTTGTCTGTTGTTCAATACAAGCTTGTTCAGGTTTAATGAATTAACAGAATAAAAATGATGACAATCATCACGTCCTGATGGACAGTGTGTAAAACTGATATTGAGATGTTGTGATATGAAAGGTGAGACTCTGATAACATCACAGTCTCTGTGTGTCTGCAGGGAGGAGGCGTGTCACGACTGCACCTCCGCTGTGAATAGTTGACAGCATTCTAAAGTTAATTCTGTGGCGGGTCCACATATCACATTTCATGTCATTGTCTGTCCAAGGATATTTGGTAAAGTTCCTCTGTGGTCAGGTAACTTCATTCCTATTATATTTAGTATGAATCATCATCTAGTCTACTATAAAGCTGTCTAGTATGACTCATTATTTAATAAATTAAAGTATAGAGTGGAATTTGCATCATTTAACCTGGAGGACCATCAAATCTGGAGCAATGAATGATGATTTTTTTTTTAAAAAGCTTTACAGTTTTACACAATAAATATCCAGGCAATTCATTAACAAAGTCTCAGATCAGGAGCAGATCACTGAAGCCTTCATTCTCACTGTGGAAATGGTCCTCTGGAAATGACTGTGGAAAAACAGCGCAGGCCCTCAGCACTGAAGCTGGAAGTGCGCCATGGGGCCAAAAGTCACATCTCTCAGCCTATGAAAACACTGCCATCCTCTGTTGAGGTCACACCCTTTGGACATATAACATGCTCAAAATCCCTCAGACCAAACAAATGTACAAACATGCCAAGTTGTTAAACAGGTTGAAAACATTTGACGTTCTCTAAAGCGTCGAGTGGTGGCGCGTAAACTGCGTTTTCCCCCCCAAATGCCCTGTCTCAGCCCACATCAGTGTGCCATGTTTGATCAGCCTATAGAATCGCCACTGTTTGATTGCATCTAGATCCCGGAGAGTGGAGCGTTATCACCACCACGGTCGACTCCAACTGGAAGCTTCTCTAGGCTGCACACAGAAAACCCCCCTTGTAGCTCCCTTCGCCAGGTCTCCCCGGAATCCGTGTTTTGCATCGCTCCTCAATTTGCATTTCTCCCTCAGATTTTCCGTGCGACGGGTTCAGCCGCTCGAAACCAGCAGGCGCTCCACGACTCTGTTGTACGTGCGCCTCCATTTCCAGAGCAATACGCACGGAGACAGAAGAAACCCTCTGGATATTTTTTTAAAAAAAAGATAATGTTGCCGAGGCTACACGAGCGAAGAAACTGAGGACATTTTGATTTAGTTTTTATTTCTGTTGCGTATACCTACGGAGACAGACACGTGTCTTCGGGGTAAACAGAAAGGGCTAGATCGTGTCAGCGGATAGCATTGTGTTATTTTTTTGTCTCCCCTCCTCTTTTGTTTGTTATAGACGGCCGAGTTCAAGCTTGGCGACTTGCTCTACATTTCACTTCGTGCGCTTTAGTGATAAAGACGCATTTTGGAGATGTCGGAAGTGCTACCTTTCAACGAAGAAAAAATGAGTCATTATGGAAATGAGGGCGACGAGGGACACCTTTCCTTTACCTGTCGTCTTCAAGACACCAACAACTTCTTCAATGGCTCGCAGAATAAACGTCCGCCCAAACTCGGGCAGATAGGCAGGAGCAAACGGGGTAATTATCTAATCAAACCTTTTTATTTCTTCGCATGGTGATGTGTTGAATGCGCACATTGGATACCACCTTAATTAAGGAAGGCTGCACCTTTGTGTGTGTGTGTGTGTGTGTGTGTGTGTGTGTGTGTGTGTGTGTGTGTGTGTGTGTGCGCGCGTGCGTGTGTGTGTGTGGTATTAGTTTTTAAATATTCTTTTCGCATTGCAACACAACTTGTATGCGCAGTGCGTGCTGTTAAATGCCTTCTGAATGCTGCTCAACAGTGTTACCTCTTCATTGACTGGTTGGAATGACTGAGATTTGTATGTTGTATTATCGCATTTGTGTTTGCATGGTGATGTCATGCTGTTTTCTTTCTGCTCTTTATTTGCATTCTTTGAACATTTTAACCTCACTTGTGGTTGCACATACATGCACACACATGCACTCACAGTAAAACACAACATAGACAAACATGCAGACATGTATGCACTGCATCTGTAGCTGCAAAGCAAGAAGACATGCAATGTCATGCAAAAATTTAAAAAATGAACGTTCTTAATGTTAATTACACTCTCTTTTATACACACACACACACAGGATCATGCTCATGTTTATCCATCTCTTTCTCCATGCTCTTACTCTCTCATGCATGCACACATCGCCTCTACTCAGACAGCGCAGTGCTAATGGTTCTGGGCTTTCATGCCCTGCTGTCAGTCGATGGTTGAATTTTAAAGACGCCATACCAAGATGAGCACACCCCCCTTCATTAACTCTCTCTCTCCCCCTGTCATCCACAGTTGTGATTGAGGATGAGAATGGCGACGACGAAGCACTGAAAAATGGGACAGAGAAGACCCCAGCCGAGGCTTAGAGGGTTTGGCTCTCAGACGACCCCCCAAAAAGACTGTCTTGAAATTTTGTATGGCGATATTTACCAGTTTTAATCCAAAGACACTGTATATAAGCACTTTCTCTCATGTGGCAGCAAGCAGCACTTCCACGCCCTCCTCTCCCAGTCAGTCATGGCCATCCGGGTGACACACACTGGCAGGGGCGGGAGATGGCAGCAAGAGGAGACCCCCCAGGTGGACCCCCTCCCACACACACACACACACATATACACACATATACAGACACACTCACGCAAACACAACTCTGATTCCAGGGTATTTCGCCATATATCCAAACGCAAGAGACGATGGGGGGGGGGGGCAAGGTGGAGAAAGGAGGAGTGGATGCTGTCGAAATGCAGAAATCAGGGACAGGAAACAGAAATAAATCTGATATAAAACTAAAGCACATACTTCTCTCTCCTATATCTTATCAATCAAAACCTATGGTACCATTCTTTCTGCTCTTCATTTTGATGGAGGGCAAATTAATATCAGAGTTTGTAAATATGGAAAAGGTAGCCCATATTTTCTTGCACAAAGTGGGAGGCTGTAAATTGTTCTTTCTCTGTGTTGATGACTTTATTTATTGATCTTTTGGAACATGTTCTCTGCTGTGACTAAAGGCCCGAGGGAGTGTTTTGTTTTTTTATGTTGGAGAAAAAGGGGAGTGAATGAGAGTGACATTATTTTTCTCTTAACGATTCGCGATGTTGCCTGAGTGTTTTTTTGTTACCATACTTTGCAGCTAACAAGTCATTTATATACCGTGTACCTCCTCCCACCTGTTTGTAAGCTTCCCAGGCTTTCACCTGGATTGGTTGATACTGTAACCTGACTGTACACACCCTCTTGATAAACTATTTATATTGCATTGTGCATTATCGTGTGTGCCAAATCTCGTGAGGGGATAAACTGTAACCGGACAAATTGTTCTTTTTATTTTGTGCTTTCTACATTTCCTCTTACGATTCAGTCGTTTTGTTGGGTTGCCAATTTTTAGGGCTCTTTCTTAAAAACACTGAATACCAACTCATGCATGGCAAAAATATTGAAATCATGCATGCACGGCAGAAGTTCTGAAACTCTTGTGTATTCTTGAAGCACCTCGTATACAGCTTTGAATGACGAACCTCAAGAAAACAGTCTTAACTCTGCATTGTACTGTACGATTCACACTGATTTGTACAGTGGTCTAATATCTTGTAATAAAGATTATGACAAAGTACTATTTACTGTTTAGTATTGATTGTGGTTTACAGTTTAAGGAATGCCGTACCTGATGTTGCTTTTTTTTGTTTGTAAATTGTTTAAAACTGTAGCAAAAACACAGAAGTATAGTTTTGTATAAGATAGATCATGAAAAATGGCGTAAAACAGGCTGACTTTTGGATATTGTTCCTTGTACAGTTTTTCTCCTGTTATTGGATTAATTATCTGGGCTGCCAAGGAAGAGGAAAAGTAGCATCGCGTTCCTTGGAAAGATCAGAAAATGGAAGGAGATAAAAACGAGGGGAAAAAGAAGACGAGCAAATAATCCTTTCAAGAATCGGAAATCCACATTTTGTCCTGAGAGGATCGGGCAACCGCACAACAGACTACAATCTTGTGAAGTGCTACAGTATTGCAAATGATTCTGTGGGGCGAAAAATGTACACCACTGCTTCCAAATGCAATAAATGTCTGTTTGCATCTAAAGAAACCCACAGCTCCCTCTCTTTTTACCAAGTCCTCCCTTTTTTTTGATTCTCAAGAATCGGAAATCCACATTTTGTCCTGAGAGGATCGGGCAACCGCACAACAGACTACAATCTTGTGAAGTGCTACAGTATTGCAAATGATTCTGTGGGGCGAAAAATGTACACCACTGCTTCCAAATGCAATAAATGTCTGTTTGCATCTAAAGAAACCCACAGCTCCCTCTCTTTTTACCAAGTCCTCCCTTTTTTTTTGATTCTCTGAGATGTAAACAGTGCAGGGCTGCCGAGGCATGAGGAACACTGATCAGACGTGACATTTCCAACTCTGCTGTGGTGACTAAATGATTCATGTCGTGTGACGAGTCTCTTGTCAGCGTACAGTGTCTTAAACCCCTTGACTGCTGGGAACACATACATGCAGCAAACACACACACGACACACACTCAAAAGAGGCCCACATGTCCGCTTCAGCTCCAACTGCAGGCAAGAGGCGAGACCAGCATAGCTCGTATCTCTACCTGCCCAATCTTGACAGACACGAAGAGAGGCTGCCTAGGCTGGGTACCATGGTAACAGATGCACCTTTAACTCGATGGGTGCTGCGGTGGTGGTGGTGGTGGGGGGGGAGTTTCATTGCAGAATAGTCTTCCCCAAACCCCGACTTGATAGCATCGCTATCTTTAATGGAATGTTCTCCATTCTCTTATCTGTGCCTTCTACTCTCAAGACCCCCTATTCACTCAGTGTGTGACCGCATTATCCTGACAAAATAGTTCCTTCTTCCAAGACGGCAGTCAACCATGACGATGGCGCCCACTGCAGTAACAGTGTTTCCCCTCACAGAGAGAGAGAGAGAGAGAGAGAGAGAGGACGTTACATTTAGGTAGAAATTGTGTGTTTTTTTCTGAGGAGCTTGCTTTCATAAAAAAATGTTGCAGTGAATTTATGATGTGATTGAACCACGCTTTGGTCTGATCGGTCTTAACACATGTTCCGAGAATATTTCCCACACAGTCAAACTGTCAACCAGACACAGAAACAGATTTGCAATTATTATCAGTGTTTGTCCCCATCACTCTTGAAGCTTTTCTTTTCACTACACTTCATCATTTTTCCACTCATACCGTACTGTAGTAAAATCACTACGATGACAACTACAACTGTGACTCATAGAAAGTGGAATATCAATTACAGGCATGTGTCACCTTTAGCAGAGCTTTGAAAGGAAAGAGAGTTTATTTTCACAGCAACGCAGGACAAGTTGACTCAGAGCCTTAACAGCTAAATTGCAGGTGCATCACTGACAAACACTGCAAACATTACAGTACACTTGGTCTAAATAATCACGAGGGCCAAACAGAAAAACTGCAAGAGCAAAGAGGATTAGGAATCACTGAAACACTGACACCTGAACAGCAACTACTATGTGGGACATTAACATTTACACTTGTCATCTGTCACCACAGCATCATTTCAATGCAGTATCAAGATGATACTAAGCTTTCAACTACTATAAGTCAGCAACTGAAATGTAAACATTTAGATACATGCAAATTAAAAGAGCGGGAGAGAGAAGGACTAAAATACAGTCATTTAAAAGCACTACTTTGATTTGGCATAAGTTACAAAGATATTAAAAAAATGATGTTGGTACTCTGTTGTAGTTAGAAACTGAAGTGTTCCATGCTTCAAAAGCTTTTTTTTCTTACCTGACAAACTAATAACAATGTCAAAATGTGATCTTCTAGTTGTCATGACAAAAAAAAAGAATCAAGACAATGCAGAAGATGCAGTTCCATTCAGGCTGGGTGGTTAAGTTCAAGTTAAGCGCTTGATGACCATTGCTGCTTAAAGAGGTGTGAAAGGACCCTCTTGACTTTGAAGCTACAGGCCTCCAGTAATGACAGTAAAGACATGAGAAGCTCTTTGACAACTACTTAGATCATATTGTGGTAGGAAGGTATTATAAATAGGACTGATGTGAGGCTAATCAGTGAAGTTCGGAATGAGTAATGGGATAGTGAATAAAAAGGATAAGGAACATTCATGGGTCCATTAAAGCTAGCTATTAGCTGCACACACACAGGCTTACAAAAATAACTTTACAGCCTGTCTGACTCTCACCCAGTATTAGCTTCCTCCACTCCTGAATCTGACCTTAGTGTCGTTGCAGGGAAATTCCCACAGTGACCTCACATGATGAGTAGCTCACTGGGAAAAAATCGCCTCCTCTCTGTCTTGTCCTGAATCAATGGGCTTCATATGATGCTGTCATAAAATGTGTACTGCATGCAAATGGCTGAGGAGGCATTTGCATTTCATTTCACTGCATGAGTGCATGTGGATACATGTGAAGATGTATTTATTCATATATGCATTTATTTATATCTATTTATTCAGTTTTCTGTTATGTCTGTGCTTCGATAGATGTATACCTATATAAGTGTTAATCCCTGTGTGTGTGTGTGTGTGTGTGTGTGTGTGTGTGTGTGTGTGTGTGTGTGTGTGTGTGTGTGTGTGTGTGTGTGTGTGTGTGTGTGTGTGTGTGTGTGTGTGTGAGGCGAGTTCAATTGGCATTGGGATCAGGTATCCTCTTGCCTATTGAGACTCTGCTGGGAATTCACAAGGACGACCGCTGATGAGACGGAAAAGGGGAAATGCAGTCCTTGTTGCACTTCTGGGTAGAAAATAAATATATATTCATTTTCATAGCACACCAAAATATTCTTTCTGCTTCTGAATGGGGATGTAGATCAAGTATTTTTGTGAGGTAGAGCCTTATCTCATTGTTTGACTAAAATAAAAAAACAACCCTGCTTATGATGGTTGAATTCAATGTGGTTGCAGCTAAATCATTATTATTTATGATGACGTCAATTCCTCCTCAGATATAAGTCCACCTTTAGCTCATGTCCAAAATATCTGAACTGCATGCTTTTAATGTTTCCTGTTAAAGGCTAAGAGTCCAGGTTTTAACAGATGGGACTCTCACAGCAGAGCAACACAAATTGAAATAACAGCAAACAAAGACTAAAAATTAACATTAAACACTCTCTCACTGTTTTTCCAAGGAAAGTGAAAAGAGGTAAGAGGAGAGAGGGAGGAGGGAAGACGGGAAGAAGGGCGGCAGGGCGAGCAGGAAGGCTGACAGATTGAAAGAAAGAGAGGGAGTGCGAGCGGCACGAGAGGGAGATGAGGAGATAAGAGAGATGGAGAGCCAGGAGAGGAGGAGAAAAAGAGATGGATAAACAAAAAGTGAGAGCAGAGAGGAAAAGAGAGAGAGGAAGAGAGACCGAGGCTCAATATGATGAAACGAAAGCCAGGGAGAAACTGTTCAGACCCACCAGATGGTTACTATAGCAACCACATCCCCAGTCTCTCTCCCTCTCTCTCTCTCTCTCTCCCTCTCTCTCTCTCTCTCTCTTGCTCTGCCTAGTTGCTTTGTTGCTGCTTTAAGTCTGTGGAGGGAAACCAACGGCTGAGAGAAAAAGAGAGAGGCGGTGTGTTTTACATTTTGGTGCAGAGGCATCGTAAAAATTCTCATGACCAACTTTACATACTTGTGTGCACGCTCGTTTTGGATTCAGCATGATGCTCTAAATGCCTCCTAGATGTGTATTTGACACCTGATTTCTGTCACAGAAAATATTAAACTGATGGTGTTCCCCTGCAGGAAAAGTATGTCCATGTAAAAAACCATGTGTTCAATTGCATGTTATCACGGCAAAGTACGCAGGTGCAGGGTCAAGAAGAGTTCAGTGAAAAAGGAACCAGGAGGAGTCTCGTGTTAACTTAATGAAAGCCATGTTCTACCCTTTGACCCTACCGTCGTCACACACAGACGTCCACTGTGTATGCAAATGAGTTGGACTCGTATTGTGAAGCGTTCATAGCTGTAAGCATTGTCCTCAATCTCAGCTGCAACACATAATATACATGCAACTTGTAAAAAAAACCTCCATTAAATACACTAAGTGGATGCATGCACACTCACATGTGCAGTCTGGCATCACGCACAAACCTGCACACACTCACACACACTTACACACACCAGCAGGGACATATCCAAACTGGGATGCACAACAAAGGGAAGCTCTTGCTGCCCCCCCCCCAGCTAATCTCATGCATGGAGATCATTTTCAAAACAGAACAAAATGGTGGGCCATCTCACGGTGACAGAGTGGGTCTCAGTTGGGCCCCCGGGGCGGGATGGCATGTAACTGTGTACGCGTGCCTGCTGAATAAAAGATACTGACCTACATGGAAATCCGCCATTGGTCACTTAATTTGTCCTACATGCGTGATTGGCCCATGCCCAGGCACACAACATAGCTGTCTAATGGAGGGAGAGCTGAGGAGGTTGTAAATTTGTGCACATTTTTGCAAACATTTTTGCAAAATTCTTTCTCCAGATTTGCACAGAAATATTGCCTTGAAGATAGAAACCTTACATTTTGGTAGATAGATTTTAAAAGTGCTTTTTTTTGTAATGAATAATGCTTCATGTCCTTGCAGTTCATATCAGTGTGACTGCATTATATGTTCTTTTCTACAGAGCCCCTCTATAAAAAGCTTCATTTCTCCCTCTGTGACCCCATCCTGCGTACATTTTTAAATACAGACTCATAAAAGCATACATGAGAAGCATTCTATGTTGCTCCCTCATCAACTAACATTACACAGCTCAATGATGCAGATTGAATTTATGCAGCGTGCCAGCGCCAGACCACATGGGACTAAACATAGCACGTACTGTATGTCTGCAGGTCTGTGAGCATGAATGGGCATGACTGAAAGGGTGTTTTGTATCAACATTGTACTGAGCCATTCTACATTATTGATATGCAATTTGACTGCCCGCCATTAATAAATTATTAAGGAGTTGAAAATTGTTGAGGAGGGGCTTGACAGCTTCTGAGCTCTTTGGCCACGTGTGGATGAATGTTGACAGCTGTATGATTGGTAATGACTGTTGAACTTCAAACTGTATTATCACATGAAA